TTCTCTTTATTGTAATAAAACCAATAAATGACACTGTATAAATATCTATATATAAACAGTTTTGTATGCACAGTCTGTTGTATTATTTATTATCTGTAATATAATAAATGTTTTCTGTTGTAGCCTCTGATGATGGTTCAAACAACTCCTAATGCATGAAGATGTAAGTGTATTTGTATTCATAAGTATATATCTCTCAGTTATGAGAAACGGTTGAAATGTAATATGATTTTTTTGGTATTTTAGGAGACCAGACACGTGGAAGAGATGCTAGTCCAACTGCTTATCTGTCCAGTCATACAAAATTGCACATAAGCAGACATAAACACACACACACACACACACACAATTCTTGATTTCTGTGATGGGATTTATGTCTTATGATTCTACATTAATTAAATCTAAAAAGCAAAGTTTTTGCTCCTTCACATTTTCTGATCATCCTGATTTTTATTCATTTTATTAACTTTATTTTATGAAAATATATATTTCCCTGTAGTGACAAAGACACACGAATACACAAGAATACCAATGATTGATTTGAAAAGTTGATTGGTTTGTAAGATCAGGGTTATATATATGTATATATATGTGGTGTCAGAGTTTTTTCATGGAAAAAAAGAAATTAGAAACATGAAGAGTTTAAAGTCAATGTAACAACCTGGGTACAACAGAGTCTATGAGGATTGATCTCTGTTTGTTTTTGTTTTGTAGACAATTTCTGTAGGAGACTAAGAAGTCAATGAAATTATCTAATTGTTTATTTAATGCAATATTTTATTTTAAGTACTTTAAATGGTCTAGATCTTTTGAGATTTTCTAGATAATTTTGCTTTTCCAATTAAATCAATATCAATATGCAGACTTTGTATGTTATGCTTTGCAGGGGATTGTTGGGCTTTTAATGTTTATAAAATAATTATTCTTTTCTTTAATTTTCTTTTTTCAAAAATGATTTAGATGATAAAATGTATTACAAAATAGCTGGTTCTTAATATGTTGTACTGTTAAACCTTTACATAAATATCTGAACATTAAAATAAAATATAAATTTTCCTTTAAATAAAAATACATGATTTTTATGTATATTGGTTGCCTTCAAAATGATGTAATGTCACTCTGGTTCTTTAAAAATAAAGGAAATCTGACAAAAAGGAGCAAGTGGTGAATGTCTGTCATTGCTTAAAACAGCAGAACACATCTGAGACCATTCATAAGATTTGCTTCAATTGCAACTGAATGTTAGAGCAATACAGGACTATGATGATCACAACATAATTCCTTCTTAAAGTTGAAATGAAATATGAATCAGAATCACTTAATTCGCCACTGCAGGGATGCAGTATAATTTGTGCAATCCTGCACTGGAATAGCTGGTCAAATAAGTATACTTACCATGTGACTATTGGTTACTATTGAGCAAAATATTATTTCTACATATTCATTACATATTCAGCTGAGAATTTTGATCCCTTTTAAAAGTGAATCATCGACCTAACTAAATAGATAATTTCAGTTTATAAAATCCCAAATAGAAATCTATAAATGACAAGGGTGACTGATGGTTCCAGCTATCACAAGAAAGGAATAGGCTATAATACAGTAATTTCATATTTTTGAAGGAGAAGGGACACAAAAGTGCACTAAAATAAAAGTGCAATCATTATGTCAAATAATTATTTCTTCATTCATGAAATTCATTTAGCTGTATTAGTGATTGGAGAACTGACATAAGCTTTGAATTTGAAACATTGTAATCAGATCAGGTTTCTATAAGATGCTTTTTCTCTAATCACCAAAGCAAATGTGATATGATTTACAGTACAACCTGCTTCCCTGAATTCTACCTAGCAACCGCTGGTACACAGTAATACAATTGGCCAAGCATGCTGGCATGCCACATTCTTCACCTACAGAATGTCATCTTGAGAGTCATAAGAGTATGAATATCAGGTCTTTTTAATGATTGAATTTAATAATGACAACTGTGACTGGATCCATCTCAGAACATGTCTGCAAAATACAAAAATAATTACAGCTCCAGTAATTTTCTATTTTAATAAAGGGAAGGGACACACTAGTGCAAATGATGATGGCCTGACTCATCAATGTATGGAATTGCAAAGCTGCTAGCTAAATGAATGAATGAATAAATGAATCAATCAATCAATACATACATACATAAATGTAAAAACAAAATAAATGAGTATTTTTACTTTTTATGTATTTTGTATTTTTTTTCAAAAAAAATTCATTCATTCACACATTTATTTATTTATTATTTTCTTTGTCCTTCGGGTAATGAGTGGGACGTGTTCTGGCTAAGGCAAGGAAGAAGCTTTCAGAAATTTAAGTAGTGCAAGTCATAATGAATGTCTTAGAGGTGGGTGATATGGCCAAGATCTTCTATCATGGTTTAAGTAATTTAATATCATCGTCAGGCCTCAAAGCTTTTTCCTTGCCTTAGTGAGAACTCTGAGCTCAACTGTTATGTCTGAAGTAAAACACGCCCCCCACCTCATTACCATGTGGATAAAGAAATGTAAAATTAAATGTAAAAAAAAATAATAAACGTGGCAAAAATACAATTATACATATGGAAATAAATGTAGACATATTTATTTTCGTTTCTTACATTTCTTGTAGATTGATTGATTGATTTTACCTCTCTTTGTGTATTTTTATATATGTATTAATTTATTTGTATTTTTATTCAGCTTTGGCATTCCATAAGAATGATGCATTCTTTACAAAATTATAAAAAAATAAAAAAAAATTATTAATGCTTGAATTTAAGGGTTTGACTGAAAATAACATTCATAACTTCCATTTTGTTCCATTGTTACTGAGCTTCCACAATTAGAACAGTTTTGTGTCTTATATATGTACATGGGCCTAAATCACATCATTTCAAATACAGGGGCTACATTTGTCATTAAGTTCATTCAGTGCATTATGTTCATTTTTATTTGCCTAAAGACTTCATACAGAAAATACAAATATATTACAAAGAATGCACCAAACACATGTTTGATTTGAGAGTTTAATGTTTATTGTGTCAGTTATAATAACAAAACAGTGTGATTTGAATGAATGAGAGACCATATGTGATTAGAACATTCCCTTCTTATATTTGTGGATTAACTCTGACACGTCCTCCTTACACACCTTGATCCAGCCATCCTCCTGCATGTGGTAAACTAAAAGGTGCAAACACATGAAAACATACCATCTTAAGTACAGCACACAAACACAGTGTTCAACAACAACGTACATTAATGAATTAAGAAAACAATCATGTAGAACAGAAATTCAAAGGTATTACTGAAGACAAAAAAGACATTTCTCACAGCTTTTGGTTTAAACAAAATGGCACATCAAGTTAATATTATTAAAAGACCAAATATCTAGCGTAGCGTTAGTTCTGGCAGGTCACGTTAGTCAAGCTCGCATCAGCTTGACTAACTAGCATTTTTCGCATTGCTCAATAGCTAATTACCCTCCTCCATCCC